TGTTCTTTCCTGTATTTCTAGTACCCACCTGACAACATACATAGTGATTATACATTATCAACTACATTCCCTATGCTGTTTTGTTTTTGCCCACACTGTCCAGGATCATCTTAATATCCTTGGCACTGGAGAAGGCATTGCCCCAGAAGTCATATTTCATCTCAGTGTTATTGTTGTTATTAGTAGTAGTAGTATAAGTATTATTAGTATAGGCCCAGTGCATGAATTCATGCATGGTGGGGTCCCTCGGGCTGGCAGGTAATCGGGAGTGATCAGGGTCAATCGGGGCCATCTCGCCCAGTCTCCATTGGAGCTAATGGAGGCTGACTGGCTAGGGGGAAAGACTGCGGGAGATTGCCGGCCATGGAAGGTTGGCTGGAGGAGTGCACTGACCATCAGGGGCCAACTCCTACATTAAGCATCTGCCCCATCCCACCACCACCCTGGCGGTCAGTGTGCGTCATAGCAACCAATTGACTGGTTGTTCGGTTGTTCAGTCGCTTAGGCTTTTATATATGTAGACTAGTGGCTTGGTGCACAAAATTCATGCTCGGGGGGTGAGGAGGGGGAGGGGGTGTCCCTCAGCCCAGCCTGCACACTCTTCAATCTGGGACCCCTTGGGGAATGTCCAACTGCTGGTTTAGGCCTGATCCCTGTGGACATCCCTCTTGCAATCTGGGACTACTGGCTCCTAACTGCTCACCTGCCTGCCTGCCTGATCAACCTTAACCACTCTGCCTGCCAGCCTGCTAGCCCCCAAATTCCCCCCAGCTGTATCAGCCCCAACTGCACCCCCTGCTGACCTGCTTGCCCCCAACTGGTACCCCCTAATGGCCTGCTTGCCTCCTACTGCCCCCCAGGGATGACCAGGCCAGAAGGGGAGGGCAGTTGGGGGTGATCAGGCTGGGGATGGCGAAAGTTGGGGCAAGCAGGCTGGTGGTGGGGGAAGTTGGGGGCGAGCAGGCCAGTGAAGGGGACATTTGGGGGTGAGCAGGCTAGCAGTGGGGGGCAGTTGAGGGCAATAAGGCTGGCAGGTGGTCATTTGGGGGTGAACAGGGGGTGTGCCAGTTGGGGCCAAGCAGGCCAGCATGGGGACCCCAGCCTGATCACCCCCAACTGCCCTCCCCTTCTGGCCTGGTCATCCCTAACTATCTCTGCCTCAGCCCTGCCACTATGGCTTTGTTTGGGTGGCAGCCACAGAGCTGGCTGGGCAACCACGGAAAACCAAGCCTCCTGCCTGCTTTATGACTGGCTTGCTTCCTTTATCACTGGGGAGACCAAGGAAGCCAAGTCTATTGCCTGCTCTAGCCAGCTCCATGGCTCCAGCTGGTGCCACCATCTTTGTCACATCAATTTGCATATTCCTTCCTTATTGGCTGTGGGCACTTCCATCTTTGTCGTGAAGTGATGGTTAATTTGCATATTACTTTTATTAAATAGGATTTTTAAAATATATTATAATTTGATATTTAGAGAAAGAGGTAGGTAGAGAGAAATATCAATGAGAGAGAAACATCATTAATCAGCTGCCTCCTACATTCCCTCTCCTGGGGATCAAACCCACAACCTGGGCACATGCCCTGATTGGAATCAAACCAGTTTCTTCTTAGTTCATGAGTTGATGCTCAACTACTGAGCAACACAAGTCAGGATATCATTATTTTTAAAATTCTTATCTGAGGTGTTTTCCCCATTGATTTTTTAGATAGAGTAGAAGGGAAGAAGGGAAGGAGAGAAAGAGAGAGAAACATCAATGTGAGAGAGACTTACTGACTGGTTGCTTCCCGCACCCACCCCAGCCAGAGCCAGGAATCAAATCTGCAACTGTGGTACATAATCTTGACTGGGAATTGATTCTCAGACCCTTAGATCCACAGGCTGACACTCTAACCACTGACCCAAACCAACTAGGGCTCTTTTCATCTTTGTATCTCTAATTCTAGCAAACGGCACACAGAGGTTCTCAATATATGTTTATTGGTTGTAGTAATGGTTGTACAACTCTGTGACTATACTAAAAACCATTGATTATACAATTTAAATTGATGGATTATATGATCTTAATAAAGCTGTTATTTTAAAAAAGCAAAACAGCCCAGCCAGTGTTACTCAGTGCTTGAGCATCGACCTAGATATCAAGAAGTTCTGGTTCAACTCCTGGTCAGGGCACATGCCTGGGTTGTGGACTCAATCCCAAGTGAAAGGCATGCAGGAGGCAGCCAATCAGTGATTCTCTCTCATCATGGATGTTACTCTCTCTCTCTCCTCTACCTTCCTCTCTGAAATCAATAAAAATATATTTAAACCTAATTGGTGTGGCTCAGGGATTGAGCGTCAACCTATAATCCAGGACAGTTTGATTCCCCATTGGAGCACATGTCTGGGTTGTGGATTCAATCCCTAGTAGGGGGCGTGCAGGAGGCAGCCTATTAATGATTTTCTCTCATTGATATTTCTCTCTCTCTCTTTCTCTCCCTTCCTCTCTGAAATGAATAAAAATAAAATAAAATAAATAAAAACATATTTATTTTTAAAAAGGAAACATCGCCCTGGCCAGTGTTGCTCGATGGTTAGAGAGTCCCCCCATGTACCAAAGGGTCAAGGGTTCAATTCCCAGTCAAGGACATGTACCTGGATTGCAGATTTGATTCCTAGCCCTAGCTGCAGGAGGCAACTAATAGATGTGTCTCACTCACATAGATGCTTCTCTCTCCCTTCCTCCCTCCCTCCTTCCCTTCCATTCTTTTTAAAAATCAATGGGGGGGGGGGAAATATCCTCTGGTAAGGATTAACAAAAATACATACATTTATATCTTATTTGCATTTTTTACAGGGTTGAAATAGGTTCACAAACAGAAAATACAAGTATACAAGGGAGATGACAAACAAGTTTATTTAACATATACTCCTCATTAGGATCAGTCCAGCCAGTTGGGAGAGTGAATCTTTAAACATTAGCTCATGTAGGCCAGTGTATGCCAGAGAAGAATGTGAAATAGCTAACAAAAGTCACTCAACTGATTTGTGATATGAATATATGAATCAAAGTAATTTAAAATACTGAGATTTTTCAGATTCTAAGGACCAATAAATTTAAGTATTCTCAGAGCCCATTCCAATAAGACAGGCCTTCTTTGCTCTATTCCTGGGTATGGTGATTGGCTGAGAGTACCACATACTTTGTTATCATGTGTCCCTACTCCAAGTGAGATTGCTGAATTGGTGCCCACCACCATCTCTTTAATCTAAACTAAGGAACATTCAGAAACTAATGTTCTGTTTTGTTGACTATTGAGTCATTTTCTGAGTTTACTTGCTACGGTATGCAATAAAAATATATATTTTTAAAATACATCTTCTTGATTTTTTACATAGAGGAAGGGAGAGATAGTTAGAAACATTGGTGAGAAAGAAACATCAATCAGCTGCCTCCTGCACACCCCCTACTGGGGATGCGTCTGCAACCAAGATACATGCCCTTGACCAGAATTGAACCTGGGACCCCTCAGTCCGCAGGCCGACGCTCTATCCAATGAGCCAAACCAGCCAGGGTTATATATATATATATATATATATATATATATATATATATATATATATATATAAAAGTGATGCAATTGCTGGCTAGCACCATGAGCATAGCAATGTGAACAGTCTCTAGAAGCCGAAAAAGGCAAGGAAATGATTCTCTGCTAGAACCTCCAGCTCTGCCAACACTTTGATTTTAGGTCACAGAGATCTGTTTCAATTTTCTGATCTCCAGAACTGTAGATAATATTTCGGTATTGTTTCAGCCCACTAAATTTGTGGTAACTTGCTACAGCAACAATAGGAAACTAATACTTGCCCTAATAATATCATCAATACCAGGCCTGGACCATATGCCTCTTATTTGTGGAGTCCAGTTGTTTTTATTGCTCAAGATACAAGTATTGGTTTGGAACAATTGTTAACTGTGTCAGAATAGAAATGCTTTTCCCTTTGGGCTATGAAGCTCCAGAACTAATCAATGGAAACTAACGTTTGATCACTGGCTAATGGTTAATATAGGTAAAGAAAATACAGAAACATGCAATTCTGTCACTGGGATTTTGGATAATGGATTTCATAATATTGTATATCAATAATAACTTCAGCCCTGGCCAGTGTTGATCAGCAGTTAGAGTGTCAGCTTATGCACTAAATAGTCATGGGTCTATTCCCAGTCAAGAGCATGTTCCTGGGTTGCAAGTTTGATTCCCAGCTCCAGTCGGTGCACGTGCAAGAAACAACCAATTAATGTCTCTCTCACACATTAATGTTTCTCTCTACTCTCTCTCTCACTCTCCCTCCCTTACACTCTAAAGATCAATGGGAAAAAATATCCTCAGGTGAGGATTAAAATAATAATAATAATAATAATAATAATAATAATAATTATTTCACTTGTGTATTCTTTAATATGTTTTTAGAGGGGAAGCTTTAGGAAGGATATAAACCTAAGACAGGAAGAGCTATGTGGAATAGGGTATTTCACTGAAGGCTTGGCGACAATTAGAAATACAAAGATAATGTCCCAGAGATAAAGGAATACAAGGTAAACAGTAATAGAAAAAAATTCTCATCTAAGATATAAGCAGTAATAGAGTGGTTAAATGATATGGGAGAAAAGATAGTAAGACACAGAAAACTAAACACCATGAAATGATACCAAGATAAGATCACTGCCTGGAGACCCGATTTCTCTATTTCAGAGTTTGAATTTGATCTTTAACCTAATACACAATACAACCTCCAAATTTTCCTAACATTTTTTTCGTTCCTATGTAAAACTCTTACAACTGAGCTGTGAGTTATAAACTAATAAGAAAGCATAAGATTTCCAACAACTGAAAATACTTACTATCCACAGCTACTGCTCATTGTCTCCATTATTTAAGAAGACTTGTAATGTTATATCCGTTTTCTACCTTCCCACTGCCAGGTTAAATGTACAACACAGGAAACTCTTCCTTACTTACAACTGCACAGCGAGGCATTTTGGAAGTAATCCCATCTTCCTCTGTTGCCCCATTGGGTCCAGGTGCCTCTTTCCTCCTCTTTCTTGTGTTGACTTTGGCTGAACTCTGTGCATCCATCTTCTTTTAACCGGTCAGAGAAAGTGAAAAAGAATATTTTCTCAATGGGGGAGAAAAAAGTCTGTCACCAGAATTTCAGAGATGTTAACACAGATATACTCAGCAAAAGATCAATTCCATAGCACATATTTCCCAAAGAAGAACCAATTGCATCTGTCAAAAACAAAGCTTCATTAACACAGGCTCCAGTAGGAACTCTAAATTGACTCTGTGGAACAATGGCCACAATTAATCACCTGAACTTGGAAATTATTCCCCTTGATCAATGAATCCTGTATATTACCTACTAATTCTACATCCTGACTGAATGCAAAAGATTGGAATAACTTGGCTGAGAAAGTTAGTTATACAGCTTTAACACTATGCCTTTAACACTGGAGATATGTCTTAGGTGCAGATGGGGAAAAGAGCCTTTTTTTTAAAGGATTGGCTATCACCAATTCCTGATTTAACAAAGCATGAATTTCTTAACTCTAAAAGCTCTGTAGATTTCAGACACCACTCCACCAGGTATCTACGGAAATTGTGGTGTAAGTGTATTGTATCTTTTAAATATCCTTCCTCTTCCTTCTTTAATATTCATTTTCCCTCCCTTTAGTCTCAAGCACCTTAAATTTGCTCAGAGTCCCCAACTATTAAAACCCCAACCAGGTTTCTCCTTGCCCCAGGAAAAAAGTTAATCACTGTCTCATTTTGCAGAGCGCTTCTAGAAACTAGCTGTCTCATTTTGCAGAGCGCTTCTAGAAACTAGCTCTGAATGTTTGATATTTCATATTTAGATATTGGCTTGTGCTACCTCTCCAATTCCCAGCAAGGATCTGTTTTTGGTAACATAATTTACATAAACAAATTAATCTCTTGGCATTGATGAAATTTTAGGCATCAGGCAGAAATTGGGGATAGAGGAATTTTAATGATCAGCTGCCTTCTCTGCCCAAGATATGGCACAGTGAAAGATGGAAGAAAGATCCTCAGAGCAGAGGAGGAAAACAAAACAAGTGCCAGACAGAATGAGGACATTCTACTCTGCCTCACTGACTCCAATAAGCCCTCCTGAATAAGATGTTCATCTAAACAACAGCAATTGTGCCTTACTTTCTTTCCTCCAGCTAAATTCCAAGTGGCAATGTGACAAGATCTACAAGAAACCTGACCTAATTCTTAGAGAATGATGGTGACACCCTCTAAGTAGTAGGCTGACATTAAAAAAAGATTTTTTTTAAAAAAGTGAGTCTAAAATGAAAGATGAACACCACCCAGAAACTTCCTTTCATCACAAATGCAAATTAAAATGGAAGGATACTATACATTTAACAAGTTTATCCAGTGATGATAATCAGAGCTTTTCTTCATTATTGCTATTAAGTATTCTTTCAAAATATCCAGGTCAGTGTTGCTGCTCCCACCTCACTGCTAACAAGGCCTCATCAGTCCATTTAGTGACCATTTCTAACTTGCATATAACTAGCTTCTCTGTATCTGCTAAATTCTTCTCAGGGTAAGCAGACAAAACCTTTGGAGAAATGTAATCAGCAATCTGGTGACAGGAGGCTCAAGGTCAGGTGGTCAATAATATTAAGTACTTACTGTGTACAAGGTACTTTGGCATAATTTTTTAAAGTAAAAACTGTTTCCTCAAGAAGTTCTTAATCAAGGTGAGGAAACCATGTGATTGTGACATAAAAAGGCTCTTTAGGATTCTAAAACCACTGGGGGAAAGTTTGTTGAGGAACAGGATATTTACACGGCTTCAAAGTATCTCTCCTCACAGATTACTTATTAACTACAAAGGGAAAGTTAGCTTTTTAGTGAAAAACTCTCTTAGCTGCCCTAGCCGGTTTTGCTCAGTGGATAGAGCATGGGCTTGCAGACTGAAGGGTCCCAGGTTTGATTCCGGCCAAGGGCACATGCCAGTTGTGGGCTCAGTCACCAGTAGGGGGCATGCAGAAGGCAGCCAATCAATGGTTATCTCTCATCATTGATGTTTCTATCTCTCTCTCCCTCTCCATTCCTCTTTGAAACAAATAAGGAAATATATATATATATATTTTTTAAATCCCTTAGCTAAGTGATCGAAGTTAATTAACATAACCAATAATGAATGCATCCTGTGTGAGGCACTAAGGATACACTACCTGCCCAAAATACATAACCTCTATGGATTTATGAGGAACAAGCAGACAAACCTTAATTAAAGGACAGTGTACAAAACAAGCCTGTGTTCAAAAAATTTTAATCATGGAAACAATAAAAGGCTGAGGGACTGCTCCAGGTTAAAAGAGATCAAAGAGCCAGGCCAGTGTGGTTCAGTGGTTGAGTTTGGACCCATAGACTAAGAGGACACTGGTTCAATTCTGTCAGTGCACATGCCCCAGTTACATGGACAAGCAGGGACGTGCAGGGGGCAGCTGATTGATGTTCATTTCTCTATCCTTGTCCCTTTCTCTCTCTAAAATTAAAAAATAAATAAATAAATTTAAAAAAAGAGAGACCAAAGAAATTATAACTATATGTAATGGAAAATTCTTAATTGGGGGGGAAAATTGTTACAAAGAATAGCTACTAAAACAATAAATAAAATTTGAATATGAACTGTTTATCAAATAATAGACATCAATGTTAAACTTCTTAGATTTGATTTTACAGTGTGCTATAGAAAAGACTCCTTGTTTTTAGAGAGAAATGCTGAAGTATCTAGAGATAAAAAGTCATGATCTCTGCAACTTACCCTCAGCAAAAATAGAAGAAAAATATGTATATCATATCACATTACCAGAATCGAACCCGGGACCCTTCAGTCTGCAGGCCGATGCTTTATCCACCGAGCCAAACTGGCTTTGGCTCCTTCCTGACTCTTTAAATCAGAATACATGATGCATACATTCTAAGAAGTATGTCTAGTAATCTAAATATCTTGCAAGGAAGTTAACAGCAATAGTCATAACAATGCTATCTTTTTTTCAATACTTACCATCTGCCAGTTATTGCGATAGGCAATTAATACACATATATACAGTTATTATTAGCTCCGATTTACAAATGAGAAAACTAAGGATCAGGGAAGTTAAGCAACCTAAAAGATCACACAGCTAGTAAGTAGAAAAGCCAGGATTTAAATTCAGGCTTGTCTAATTTCAAAGTCCTTACCACTATAATTTGCTATTTTCCAGAAAGCTAAGATTTTTAAAAAGAAGCTTATCATTACTGTTGCTTCTTTCTATCAAGAACATTCTCTCTACAACATGGGTCCCTTATGTGTTTTTTACACTTAAGTCAGGCCATCCTAACTGAACAGTAGAATAAAAGGTCACAGTTAGTTAAGGTAAACAAGGTTCCAGGACCAATCAAATAGAACTGACGTGGCTACTGGCTCAGAGGTTGCCTGATTTGTCAGCTATAGCAGATTTTCCTACAGGGTAGTTTTGCTAGGGTTTCCTGATAAGATTTCACCTTAAGTAATAAAGAATTCTTTAATATCTGCTCCTCCTTCTGCTGACATTACAAATAGGTAGTATTTTAAAGGCACCTGTATTTTTATAAACATTTTTAAGGGTGTTATAATAAACAGAGAAATAAATGCCATGTCATATTTTCATCAGTTATCCTATATAAAAAAAGCCTAATATGCTAAGTGCTCAGTCGTCCATTCAACCAATCAAAGCATAATATACTAATAATATGCTAAGGACACTCAACCACTCACTATGACATGCACTGATCACCAGGGGACAGATACTCCAACCTGTAGGCTAGCTTGCTGCTGGGGTCTGGCCAATTGGGACTGAGCAAGATGGGCCAGACATGCCCTGGAGCCCTTCTGCTGTCCCTTCCCAGCTGGCCAACCTTCTATGTTCCTCCCTGACCCCAATTGTACACCAGTGGGGCCCCTCAGCCTGGCCTGCACCCTCTCGCAATCCAGGACCCCTCAGGGGATGTCAGAGAGCCAGTTTCAGCCTGATCCTGCAGGCATAAAAGGATAATATGCAAATTGACCACTAAGGATATCCGACTTGACAGCTTAGGCCCATTCCCTGCAAGCTCCCAGACCACGAAAGGGCGCAGGCTGGGCTGAGGGACAACACTCTCACCCCACCCCCACCCCCCGCCATAAGTACATGAATTTCATGCACCAGGCCTCTAGTTTTCTATAATTCCAAGTTAAAATTCCTTAATGTTTAATGGTATTCTATTTAATTCCTTAGTGTTTAATGGTAAACTATTTCATGTGTCCAAAGGCATGTTTATAGGAACTTCTCAGAAGTCTTTGGCTCTCTCTGTGTGTTGGAGGAAGGGATAACTTGTGCTTTGCTCTTTTGTTTGTTTTATTTTTTACCAGAGGCCCATGCACAAATTTGTGCACTGGTGGGGTCTCTTGGCCTGGCCAGTGACCAGGGCTGAATGGGGCCAATCAGGGCCACAGGAGTTTGGCCGCCAGGGGAAGGGACCGCTGGAGGCTGGCCAGCCAGAAGAAAGGGCCACAGGAGGTTGGCCGGCCAGCCCAATCGGGGACATAGGGGCTGGTCAGTAGGGAGGCAGGGGGGTAGGGCCAAGGGAGGCTGGCCAGAGGAGTGGAGGGGCAACAGGAGGTTGGCTGGTCAAAGGAGACTAGCTGTGGGAGCACACTGACATCAGGGGCAGCTCCTGCATTGAGTGTCTGTCCCTGGTGATCAGAGTGCATCACAGCAACCGGTCAGGTCATTCTGCCGTTCGATCGATTTGCATATTAGCCTTTTATTATATAGGAAGGTATTGTGGTAAAATATAAATAACATAAATTTGCTTTGCTTTTTAACTGCTTACTTCTTGAAGTATTGAAACATGTTGTCATATGATTCAACTTAACCAGCCAAACACATGGTGAATATCATTATACTATACTAAAGGCCTGATGTATTAAATCCGTGTAAGAATAGGCCCTTGCAGCCCCAGGGCAGCCTGGCTGCCTCAGCCCTTGCAGCACCAGCTGCCTCGCGGCCCTGTAGCCCTGTGCCCCACCCACT